TTTTTGAATGTTGAATTTTCAAAATTGATAACTAAAATTAATATTTTTAAATTTATTAAATTTTTTTAATTTTAATTCAATATTGTTAAAATTTTGACAATTAAAAAAAAAAGACACAAAAATAACTTCGTTTCTAAATGGTTCCTAACTTGATTGTAATATGTATTTTTTTATTATTGGTTCATGACAGGGAAAGTTATTTAAATTTAAATTCATCAACATTTGGACATATTACATCGTAGGTGCTAAAGAAGAGGACAAACAAACAACTACTTCTAGCATTTCTCATAAATAATTGCAATTTAGGAAGAAAAAACTTGTAAAATTGATTCCTTTAATTGTTTATGTTCTCAAAAGCTTGGATTATGTTCTCAAAAGCTTGGACTTTCAAAAATAAATTGATTCAAATTGCAAGAAGGAATATGATCCCTTCCCAATTTAGTATATTAGTAGTAAGAGATTCATCTATATATGTTCTGGTGACATATATAACAAATTATGATTAATAATAGTCAATCCTCTGCATCTAGCCCTACTTTTTTGCAAGTAATTAATCACTATTAATTAAGAGAACATAATTAGTGGTCCATCATCAATAAAACTCGTACATATATATAATTTATAGATTGCCATGGTCTTGATGAGGCTGCTGAGCAAAAGTAAAGAGGAAGAAAGTCAATAGAGAGGAGAAATGCTTAATTAATCAATGAAGGTTAAATAGAAAACATCAACTTAATTGGTAATGTGTATGTTCTCTTGTTCTTTGAATTTCTCTGCTCTAATTAAAGGGAAAAGTAAAAAGGAAGTTTAATTTGAAACATGTTTAATGAGCATTTAATGGTGAGGATTATTAATTTTTTTAGAACGTTTTGATGATGGACAATATAATTAAAAAATGTAATCTTTTTTTTTATTATTTTAAATTTCTTTATATCTGTCTTCAATGAAATACAATCTGTTTCTCGTGTTTTAAAAGTTGAACACTTTTCCACTTTGGTTTAAGATTCTTCTTCTAGTGGCCAATAACTTAAGTCATTTAATGATAACTTGTTTTTTAAGTAAAGTAAGAGATCATAAGTTTGACTCATAGGTACATAGGTAAGGTAAACAAAGAGGTGAAAAAGACTTGGCTTCTATTGTATAATCCAAAATAAAAAATTAAAATTGAAAAAAAAAAGATTCTTCTCTAGTGGGCATCTTAACCTCTTTGATTTAGGACTTAATTCGTACTAATGCTCAAAAGCATGCTATTGAAGGAATAGAATTATTAATGAAATTAATGCGTATCACTTTCACTAATTTCACTGTCCTCTCTTACCTAACAGACTAATCTCAGTGGCCGGCAGACCCCCCCACCCTCCGGGTCAGTCTGCTCCTGCTGCTGTAGATCCTCCCCTCAGCCCAATTGCTCGGCCTCCTCTGTTTCCAACGGGATTTCCATTTTGGGCCAATCAAATCCAGACCATTCTGTCAAACAAGATCAAAACTTTCGTTTATTTAGGCTTTCCTAGGCCCAGTTTACTCCTCTCTGAACCTCCCAATCCAATATCTAAAAAACAGGCTTGAGATTTACGGAGGTCCATTAGAAACTTCATTTTGAGCACAAAAGGCTCAAGTTTATAAAAGCTCAAGTTTGTCTTTGAGCTCGAGCTCCAGCTAGACTTAATTAATTAATTATTTATTTATTTTGATCCAGCTCAACCTAAAGCTTGACTTAATTGAATGCTAATTTATAACCCTACCTAATCCGAGCTTAAATCCACAATATATGAGCTTGGCCGGTGACTTGTATGGTTACTGTTGAGTGTGTTAATCATACCACTAAGATTTAATTCCTTTGATCTGCATCTTCCTTCTCCAATTGCCCCAATTTCCTTTAGTTCAAAAAAAAAAAAAAAATCCACAACATGCAAACAAGACGTCAAGAGCAGTAGTTCTTTATTTATTTATTTATCCTTTTAACTAAGGTAAAAATATTTTATTAATATTTAGCTATCTGGCATGTACAAGATAAAGGAATGCCTTATCCCATCTATGAAGGCTTTATGTCCACACAAATAGAATACGCACAAACGGAGTAAAATATAAAAAAGAATAGGTTATAATAACATCAGGTATAACTAAAGAGAAATGAGGTGAATATTCACTCTTTAACTTTTGTGGGAGGTAGTAGATGAATGGATGCTGCTGATTAAAAGAAAAGAAAAAAAGTAAATGGATGAATGCACCCATGGTTAGGCGTTCCAAATCATACTAGACTCATTTCAATCTACTTTTTGAAGAAATTAGCCCCTCTTCGTTGGTGCCGTGGCTATATATATAGCTCAGATCAAACCTTTTTTCTTCTTTCCCTTCCCTCGCATCTCTAGTAACAAAATCTCCACCACACCTAGATTTGGAGAAACAAATAGCAATAAAAAGGAAACTAGAGAAGAGTTATAAGAGCTAAAGGACTAGATAAAAAAAAAAAAAAAACCACAACCAAAACCAAAGAGAAAAAGGAGGGGATGGTAAAGGAAACAAAGAGAAGAAACAAAAAGGGAAAAAAGAAAAGATCAAGACAAGTGCTAAGTACAGAGGATGTGGTTGTGTGGAGGAAGAAGAGAGAAAAATGGCAAAGAAAGCTGAAAAATTGAAGACAAAACACCGGACCACAAGCGATCAAGATACCATGCACAAAGGCACACACAATTCTAAGAACTATAGAGAGTTCCGAGGGCATTTTATTTATTTATTTTTTGTGTTCCACCCTTTGAGTGCCAGTGCATGTTTAAATATTTTCAGAGTTTGTTTAATCTGTATCTTTAAAGTATATGTTAAAAAAATATTAATTATATTTTTTTATAATTTATTTATATAAAAAAATTAACTTTAAATTTATTAATTATTCAATTAAAATCATCTAAATGGTATTAGTGTTAAAAATAATATTTTATTTTTATATTTTTTTATAAAAATTTATTACAAAATAATATATTTAATATATTTTAATGTATACCTAAAGATACATATTAAATAAATCCACATTTTAATAACATATTTCAGGTGAGGAAAAGAAGAGAAACTAAATCTTAATTTAATTGGATGAAAATTCTTTCTCTTCTTCTCTCCCTTTATTTTCCTTTAATGAGACAGTAGATTTGAATTCTAAAACTAGCTCAAACTTTTTATGAACAACAAT